ACTGCAATGACTCGGTTTAGAAAACCTATACTGTTAAGTGACATTAATTTAAAGGACTTCCATTTGTTTTGTTTCTCCAGAATCTTTTATGATGCCTAACTGTGCTATCAGTAATATAAATTACAGTGCTCTTCCTCCTAAATCCTTTGAGAAACGCATTGTTAAACTAATCCAATTTCTTGTATAAGCAGACTTTTAAACAGATTACCCTCTAAACATTTGCCATTATCTTCAACACACACACCATTAATAACCTGAATAGAAGATGTATAATATTCAATACTTATGTGACCCATTGTTACATACTCAAGGCTAAAGGAAATCCCTTCCCCCAACCAGCATATATAAATTATTTCATAATAAACTTGCATTCATTAAAACAAAAACAAAAAAGTGATTTGGCTATACATCTATCCGCTACACCATCTTATACTCTCCATTAAAGCTCAACCCCGTTTCACTTGTTTCTAAATATACATGTATGCAATATTAGCAAGCACACTTCTCACACACCTATAAATACTCCATACAGCTATTTTTTTTTTTTTTTTTTTTTTTTTTTTTTTTACAAAATGTACAGCCAGTCCAGGTTCCTACCCCCAATATTATTTTCTTGCCGAACTACATAACAATCTGATTTTCAGTTTAACAATTATCCTTCATTTTACGACAACCCTTCCTATATTGATTATAGACAAGTCATTTAATAATTGAACTGTAGGAAATTAATATTCATTAAGATCTATTACAATTATTTAAAAACTCCACTTATTATCACTTGTAGTAGTGTATTCACCTGATAAGTAACCCCCACTTCCCAGCCTTCCCAGCCTACCTCACCACCCTCTTCAAAATTGGCATATGAAAGACTAGTATTCAGTAACAAGGCTGAGTCCAAAGTTCCTCACTGTTATTAGTACCAACATGAGATCAAGTGTGCTAACTTCCAAAACCTCCTTTACTCTCAACATAACTAATGATGTGTACTTATTAAGCATCGTAAAAAGGCTGACTTTATTCAGCAATAACAATGTCAAGATTTCTTGTGCTCACCAATTGAAGTGTAATTTCATAATTAAATATGTATACTAATGAAAATAAGCAAGGAATTTTCCCCATCTAGCCCATAAAATCAAAGATCACTGAGACAGCCTGATCTGTCTAAATAATAACTAAACATTGGCACATTCACATGTTTCACATTGGATATTCAGCTTGTAAATAAAATTAATTTACACATTTTTAAAATGTGTACAGTATATTAATTCTCAATATTTGTTTAATAAAGTGGTTCCTTGACCAAAGTCAAACCACATACAACAAAACTTCAAATTCTTTAATACACCTGACCAACTTTAGGAATATCAACCTTATAGAGAGTGACAAGTGAATGTCATAATTATTCATGATGATTAAACAAGACCACATGCATCATCACTACAGTTATTATCAAAAATCCATCATAGCCTTTCTTTGACTGGCTAACTCTGAAGCTCGCCCATGCGATCTTCTGGTCCTCTTCTCTGGAAGCTCACATGTTTTGTCATCAGAATCCTCTACTTGTCGCTTCTTACTTTTGTTCTCTGAAGTAGAAATTCTAGTCAAATCACTATCTGCACTAGCTGAGGATGTTCCTGCTTCTTCACCATTGTTAGCAATCTTCCTTTGTGAAACAATACCATTTTCTTTAGGTTTTGCTGAGGAGTTTACATTTGGCAAGTTCTCCTTATCACTATTTTCTTCTTCAGGTCTACATTTAACTTCACCTTCAATATCCTGAAGAGCCTCAGCCTTTATTTCTAAAGAAAAAATTGCAGTTCCAGATGGTGATGTTTGAACAGGTCTTTCAAACACTAACTTATTTTCACCTATACAACTATTTATGCTGGATACTCCTTTACTTGTACTATTGTCATCCGTATTATCAAAAGAGGTCCCATTTGTTTTCTTTTTCATAAAGTTGTCTGTGCAACTGTCAGTAGTCCTGATCGTCTTATCAGAAATCTGCTCCATGCCTGTAGCAGTTCCATCGTCACTTGTTACAGCAGCTTCATCATGTGGCATGTCTGACACACTGTAACTTTCCCATGCTGAATTGTTCTTCACAACAGGGCTGTCAATCAAGATGCAACCCATCCAGTCTTCATCAGCATTACTTGGTCGCCCTGAACGTGGTTTGGTCTTTCTCACCTCAGAAGACTCCTTTTTAATTTTAGCGGCAGATTTGGGTATAGACGACTCCGTTTGGCGAAACCTATTTGCCTCTCTGTTTTTTCTTAATGAAAAGATAACTTTCTTATTATTACACGCTTTGGTAGACACATCACTGGCTTTCTTGCTGGCTGCTGCATTTCCATCCACTTTTTTACATGAAGTATTCACATGAAAGCCTTCTATTTTCTTACCTTTTACACTGCTAACCTTAAAACTTTGCTTGGGCTCAAATTTGGAAGACTTTAATTTTGCTTTACCTTTCATTGATATATATTTATTCCTGATATCTGCTATCCTTTTAGCTTTGTTTTTATTGCCCACTATTTTAACCTGTTGATTCTTTTTCTTTAGATTTATGGTATTAACATCTCTATTCAGTTTGGCTTTAATTTTTTGTTTCTTTGATTTAATGTTTAATTTACTACATTTCCCATGCACAACTCCATTGTCAGAAAATATTATTTTCCGTTTTAAACTTTTAACTTTCCCATTACGTGTACTAGTTTCTCCAACATACTTACTACCACCACCATATGAATATGAAAGAACTTCAAATAGTTTATCAAACTCTTCCCAACTTCTAGGTTGTTTACATTTCCTCTTTTGTGCTGGGTCATCATTTTCAACTGTATTAACATTGTCACATATCTTGGGCAAATCATCCAATATCACAAAATCTTCATCTCCACACTTTGGCTTATTTACAGAACCAGGTGGTCTGCCACGTTTCCTTTTCTTTTTCAACAAAGATTTATTTTTTGACACAAAACCTTCATCAGAAATGGTTTCAATTGAACCCACTGCTTTTATTTTTGGAATAATACTATTCTCATTAGCTAATATTTGAGCCAACTCCTTATTCTTAGCCAATTCCTTACTCTTAGCCGCTTCCTCCAACTCTTTGAGGCGCTCAAGTCGTGCCTTCTCCTTCTCTATCTCCCGTTGCTTTCTTTCTCGTTCCCGTCGCAGATCGTCCCTTTCTTTCATTTCTTGGCTGGCTTCATATCTCCTTACCTCAAAAATATCGTCCCAATCAAGATCACTTCCATCAGAATCTGATTCATCTTCGGATGCTGTTTCTGTTTCAGACCCTGAGCCACAAGGTCTTTCTTCCACTAACCCCTGGTTCAACAACTCTCGCCAACTGGGATAACCATGCGTAACAAAAAGCTCATTATGAATTGTTTGCAAAAGGCGAAAATAGGATATTTCGATCTTATTAGATGGGTACTCATATTCCTTCTTGTATCTTAGATATAAGTATTCATCCTCTCTCATTGACACAACTTCATTTCCCATGGGATTTGCTGTCAAACTTGGTTCAGATTTGTATAAATCTGTGTCTCTGAAAACTTCAATTATGCTATCCTCTAAACATATTGTATCATCAAGGTCTTCAAAATCTGCAATACAGTCTGGATCTGACCCATTAGAATTTCCTATTTCTCTTATCTTATGAACATCTTCATAATCATTAACAGGCAAGAAGAAGATATCAGGCACTAAGTCATCTTCATTGACATCTTCCTCTGCATCTTTCAAGGCATCAAGTTCGGTATGCATCACAACATCTTCTTTTATACTCTCCAGGTCACATTCACTGACATCATATATCGCTGACTGACGAGGCCAAGACCCGCCAAGCAGTGCCCACGACTCAGCCTCCTGGAAAACACAGGGATAATGGGGAATTTCAGCCTTGTGTCACAATCAGTAATGTCCCATGGCATTAATGCTCAGCTAATTCAGTGAAAAAACAGAACCTCCACTCCATTCACCCACCATTCAATATCTCAATATGAAAAAAATTGGAAAACAAGTGTTCAAAGCTTTAACTGAGCTGCCATGAGTAAACAAGACACAGCTGTCCCCCACATCCCATGTGATTTCCAAGGTGCCACCCTATGCCACCCAGTATTTGAAGAATTTCCTTACAATTAATATTATGCTTTCACCACTTCCTAATACAATACAAACAATATATATAAATGAACCTGGGGCAAGACACCAACACACACCGTCCTATGTGAAATACCCATTTAAGCATAAGAGCTGTAGATGACTATTAATGCACCAAGAACTTCAGTTACACTACAAAGGACTAATATACTCTGCTCAGATGGGCTAGTGTGTTGTATGGTGTGAGGCCTCGACCACCCCTTTTAAGCACTGTTTATGGCACCTTTGGGCAATCACATAGGACAGAGGGGTAGTTGTAGAGAAAATAAATAAGGCCAAAGGACATGACAGTATTACTATCAACAGCACAAAACTTTTCAACTTAAAAGACTGGGTAAATGGAGAAGCAACAAATTAAATATAGATGATCTCCATTCCTAACAGTAACCACAATTATTTATGCCAATACAGTACATGATTTAACTGAGTCTCTGAATGGTTTAGATGTTACATCTTGAGTGCTCCGCACATGATCTTTAAGTATTTGTTCAAGTCTTGTAAAGACAATGGAAAACACAAGATTAATTCATCCGTCCAAAAAGAACTGCATATACATCCTTTTTAATTCCTGTTATAATAGGACATATCTAAATCTGGTCTACATTATAAATGCCCCAAATACAACCACACAAAACTACTTCCAAGGTAAGCACATTATTCCTAAGAGTGCCAAATTTGCTACACCACATTATTTCTTTTGTTTTCCTCAACATGCATCAGGAAAATAGAGGCACCACCTAAAAATATATGCAAATAAAATCTTATCTCAAATAAGCTTATCAACTCTAAACATGCTTACAAAATAAAAATAAAATAAAAACACTCACCCATGGACGGTCTGGTGTAGGTTGGCAAGTGTTGTGTGCTGATGGTCCAAGGCACTCCAAGTGGTAGTAGTTACGACAATCTGAACACCTGAGGAGAGTGTCTGCTCCGGGGGCACCACAAACTTGACACACAGCACACCGTCGGCATATCCAAAACATTTCTTCTGTCTCGGACTCAGGACCTTCACCATCCTCCAAGCAATAAGGATGGATGCCCTCACAGCACCATGCACAGTACAGCAGCTAAATAATAATACAAAAAGTAAAACAATGCTTATAGAAACTCTAAAAGTAAATCTTTATTCTAGATGAATTATGTTATTTAAAAAAATATCTATATAAATATCTATATAAATATATACAAATGTTACAATTACTACATCAGAGATATGCACGCACGTGCACAGAAATCTGGATAACTGGAGATTAGGTTAAGTAAATTTTCAAGAACTACACATTTCAAGACATACACTATCAAACAAGAAGACAATCTACAACAAGATTAGCTGAAGTTCGCTTTAAAATATATTTTTAATTAAATTGTGTGTGTGTGGAAATTCAAATTATGTTGGTTATGATACAAAAAAAATTGTCAACATGTTTTACTGGACTTCCCCCAGTAAAAATTCTGCTTATTCAGAGTCTTTCCCATATATCCCGGATAACTGAGTTTAGACAGTATATCCATAACAGCACTTCAGAGTTGACATTTTATTAAATTCTATTACATGGTCACCAAAATATGACGAGAAACCAGAATGGGTAGACTGAATCTTCGCAGGCTGTCAAAAAAGCTCATGATACAGTTCCTCACAAAGAATAACACACATGACAGAGACACATGGGGATAACAGGAAAGGCACTGTACTGTGTATGGGAGTACTTGATGGACAGAAAACAAAGAATCCTAGTCAGGGAAGATATATTAGACTCCAGAGGGGTGGAAAATGGTATTCCACAGGGCTCTGGCCTAGAACCATAGTTTTTTAATATATGTGAACAAACTCATAGAGGGAGTGAGCTCAATCATGTCAATGTTTGTAGATAATTCAAAGTTAATGAGGAGAGCAAAAGCTGAAGAGAACTGTAGGCTGCTGTGAGAAGACCTTGACAGACTTCTGGAGTGGCGAGATAAATAGCTGCTGGAATTAAATCCAAATAAGTGTAGTTATGAAAATTAAGGGAGAGAGGAGACCCATATTTAACTACACCTCAAGAAGGCAATTACACAAAACAATAAGAGAAACAGACCTGGGAGTAAACATAATCCCAGCACAAATACCTGAAGCTTATGCGAGCAGGAAATCAGCAGCAGCATACGAGAAGTTAGCAAACAAAAACATCATTTAAAAATGAAAACAAAGAGGCTTTCATGTGCATACATACTGCCTATGTGAGACCATTCATTGAGTATGCAACACCAGCATGAAAACCACACATTGTGAAGAATAGTCACTCTCCCATAGTCACTGATATGTAAGCAGAGAAACACTTATATGAACATCATCATGTCCGCTCAGCCACTGGCACCATTAGGGAGCCGGTGGCTGAACGGACAGCACACTGGATGCGTGATCCTGTGGTCCCGGGTTCAATCCCGGGCGCCGGCGAGAAACGATGGGCAGAGTTTCTTTCACCCTGATGCTCCTGTTACCTAGCAGTAAATAGGTACCTGGGAGTTAGTCAGCTGTCACGGGCAGCTTGCTGGGGGTGGAGGCCTGATCGAGGACCAGGCCGCAAGGACACTAAAGCACCGAAATCATCTCAAGATAACCTCAAGGACCAGGCCGCAAAGGACACTAAAGCACCGAAATCATCTCAAGATAACCTCAAGAAGATGTATTTCCACCACAATTATTCTGTATAAAGTGGATTTGTACACCCACAGATGTGTGCAAAGTATCATGGTGCAACAATGGAAAATTAACATATATATTTCAACTTCTAAAACTTCTATGCAAATTTTATCTAGTACTAATGAACACTAAAGTTCTGAGTGACACCTCCCATCCCCTTACTAGTAAAGGGATTTACCTGCTCTTTTCCAACAGAGCCACAGCGGAAACATAGAACTTGAGGGTGTAGAGGGGCTGCTGTTGTCACAGGGTAGCCGGTGAGCATCATCTCGTCTGCATCATAACCCTGCCAGTAGTCAATGTTAACCAGTGCGCCGGGAACAAATTTTTTACCCGCTGCAATGTCCCCTCGGTCCTGAAAACAGAAAAAGATAATGTAGAGTAGCAGTTTAACGTGTAAATGTGAAATTGTAACAAAATAATGAAAATATTTTATTTAAATCCAAATACAATAACGATCATCAGTTATTATTAAAGCTGCAACATGCATATCCTATTTATTTGAAACCAATATATTTTACTTATAACAATGTTGTTGATGTGTTTTGATAGCAGCCCACTGAGGAGAGGTAGCATTCATCCCTAAGACAACTCTCCCTCACTATTCAAATGTTATGAATATCCATAAACAAAAATTCTCACCTCTTTGAACTCGCACATTAACAACAGTTAATGTGTCTTCCACTACATTTAGCTTCATGTTCTGATAACATTAGTGCACCATGCACCTCATAGCCCCCAATACTATATTGTTTAATTTTAATGGGATAAACTTTACCTTAGACAATTAAATTCTGTACATTTCAATACTAAAATGTATGGCTTAAGCCTCTAAATACTTTTGCTAACCAAAAAACAAGAATAAACTTTCAAATGTACTGTACAGTATTGAATCACCTGCTGTCGATGGTGTTTACAAATTATGGTTCACATTGAAATAATATTAAATAAACATTAGTCACTATTTTTCTTTCCATTTCTTCCACTGCACTGCTGTTACATCTACCCAAAAATCCCAAAGGGAACTCTTTCAATAACTCTCAAACAAATTTTTAACATTTGCCTTCTAAACCTAAAATTTTAAAATTAATTATTATTCTTAGTAAAATGTAACATACCTTTTGGTCAGGCAGAGTACGTGTCATTTGCCTTGGAACAAACACGCCTTTCTCCTGCTGCAATAATTTTGACACACTGTCACTTGTCACAACAGGTACTTCAGTTTTTTCCTCTAGCACTTTTATATTTATGACAGGACCCTTGCGTGCCTCTTTGACCATGGTTGGAGATGACAGTGCTGCCGAGGGGATCTGAAGTGGCACTTTTGAAGTACTCTCCTGACTAATGGCTGATTTTGCCGACAGCCTTGGATTGTGGCACTTTCTCATGCTACAGAGAAAAATTTGTAAATAGTAATGCCCACAGAACAAAACTATTTTACAACTGTGTAAATGTGTGTCTATATAAAAAAAAAAAATGATCTGAATATGCCATCTCTAATAATGAAGACACACTTCAAACTAAATCTTGCAAATTAATCCAATAAAAGAGAGGTAAAAAAGTACTAGTATGAAGTAGAGGTATGTTGTTAAAGAGCATGAGAAAAATAAGTAGGGCATATCAAATGATGAATGTAGATGACAGCCATTCAAAAAGAAAAAGAAATTTAAAGCCTTGATCCCCATGTTAGACATCTTACAATATAAAAAGTCAGCATTGAACATAATGAAAAAAACTCCTTCTAGATGGGCTTCAGTAGTTCCCTGTAACTAGCCACACTGAGCTCACTCCACACAAATGACTTGCATCAACCCTCTGGAGTCCTTAATTGCTTGTTGGGGATCCGAGACCTAAACCTGGCACCCTCAGAGAGGCAAAGGGAGCAGGGGATCCTTAGGATCACCCTCACTGAAGAAACACAGAAGTTAAGTGAAGCAAGACAGATAACAGCAAGATTCACAGAAAAAGAAAAATGAAGCAGTAAACAACTTTACACTGAACACACTCATAATTACAGTCATCAACTGCCAGGTAGCAGAACCACTAGGAGCTGCCGGCTAATCCTGTCAACAATCCTCAGCCTGGAGCCTAAGTTAGACTGATGCACCTGGTAGGCAGGAGGGAGGGGGGGGGGGAACAGTCACTGAGGTCCACAACAAAGATAAAAAGGACAAAACCACTAGACCCACATGATGTTAAAAAAAATTAAGGGACAAAAAGACAAAGAGCCCCAACAAACCCCCTCCCTCGATGAAGGAGGATGCAAGTAGGATGCCAATAAGTCAGCCACTTGCGCACCATACAAATGGAGATACCCCGCATCAAGAACCCCAGACGAGATATCGGAGCAGAAACTTGAACCAACAAGTATACAAACCAACCTGCTAAAAAGTGACTGAACCTGACAGTCCAGATACCTGTTGTGGCAAAAATGGACACCAGAGGAACAAGAACAATGCCTCCCCCCCCTTTGTTCTTGTACTATACTAACTAGCACTATACTACTAACACTAGTTGTATAACATTACACTACTAGCACTATACTATACCTTTTGTTTTAGTGTATTGAAAATGAATGTATGAAGATTTTTTCCAGTCAATTACAGTGAAACATTGATTCAACTAACATTATTTCGGCGAATCTCCAGTTGCAACACTTTCCAGTCCAGATTTACTCACCCCAATTGGAAGAGTAAAAATTCCATGAAGCCACGGATGTGTGGACTTACTTATGATATTGGGCTAGAGTTCATAGACTGGTGGGAAAGCTGGCCATCATGTGAGATTGAAATTAAAATTTTGCTCAGAGCAATTAGCACAAAGCATGAGAAATACTGTGAACAAATGGAACTTTTTTTTTTACATGGCTTCAATCGCCCCGTTAAATGATTTTTGTAGTTTGATGCAACATTCTAAGTGACACCTGAAACCTTGGGAAAGTTATTGAGGATATTTGAAACCAAATTCTCTGGTTCATTTTCATTTCCAGCTGCAACAGTTTTCATTCACTAAAATATGGGCCGTCTTCCTTTGAAAATGAGGATTCAAGGCCGAGGCATGGGAAATACTGTATGCTGGATGTGATGAAATCTTTTTTACCGACAGGTTCTCCTGGTATCTGTTCTTCATATGATAGGTTAAAATTAAAATTTAATCAGTGGAGTCAGCCCACAGAGTGTAGGAAATATTAGTGGATGAATGATAACATTCTTAATATGACTAATAAAATTGCTAATGATTTTCATAGATGGATGCAATATTAGAAGAATTAGCTGAGGGGCCTTGGAAAGGCCACTGAGCACATTTAAAACCAAATTCTACAGTTCATTTTCATTTCAAGATTCCCTGGTTTTATTCCACTAAATTATGGGCCCCCCTCTGTCTTTGAAAATTATGTTTCGAGGTTGGGGTTTGGTAAATATACTAGATGTGACGAGATCACGTAACAGACGGGTTCTCTCGGTAGCTGCCTTCATTTAGATTGTCGAAACTAAGATTTTGCTCAGTGAAATTAGCCCATAGAGCATGGATATTAGGTGCATGAATGGTAACACTCTTAATACAACTCCAATCACATTTTTAATGATTTTCATAGATGGAACTAACATTAGAAGAAACAGCTGGAGTAATGTATTTTTCTTGTCTACAAAAAAACTAGTCTCACACATACCTCCAGAAGGTATCTCCAATTGCAAATAATTCCTCATTCCAACGAATCAACATTGCACTGTAATTATTATTTACTTTCCAATATGGAAAATATATTTTGAAATAACTGTACAGTATATGGAAGCTACTGCAAGATAAATTAAAATGCAAGCCTGTAAAATACTTACATGCAGGGTTTTTTCTTAGTACCAGGGCCCCCATATTTCTTCATGTCCAAACAGTTGGAACACTTAAGGCAATTAGGAGTAGTACACCCTGGACATTTATTGCACCACTGAGTCTTCCGCAGTACCTAAAATAATTATTTGTCAACATTTTGCTTTCATTATATATATATAAAAAAAAAGAGGCAACCAGAACACTAAATCCTTGGCATCACAAATAATGTTCAAGGGATAATACTCTCTATTCAAGTAATAGCAATGTCTTCTCAGACATAATATAGAATAAAAATCCACACTTATATATTCAACGACTAATCATTCATTAGTCGTTGAGATGCAAGTCTCATCTTACCACATACTCAGACCTTGATGAAGCACTCAGGAGAGTGCAAAAGACTTGGTGTAAATCTTTACATAAATTTCACAAAATACGTGAGTGGGATTTTATCAAATCTCTTGAATTTTTAAGAACTGACCGACTTTCTCCACTCAGACATTAGTTCATTGCCTAAACATATGAAAATTAATCCTTTGGGATACACACCCTCAAGAAAATGCTAATGAAAATTGGGGAATGAATGGATATATTGTATTACCAGATAATGCTATTGTATTTTCAAAGAATATGTTGAGAGATCCAACATTGTTACAAGAGCAAATCCAGAACCCTCGTTAAGAGTCTTGAATGAACCCAATTGACTATGCACCAGTGTTTATTTCACAATAAAGTGAAGTGATAACCTGCAAAAATTATTTAACAAAACTATATTGATACCTTGTCATCAACATGTCTTTCAATATCTAATGCATTTATGGTAAAGACTAATGTAATATACTGTATATGATACTGAATAGTGTAAGTAATTCATAATGCTGAACATGGCCAAGAAAGCGATGTAATTTACCACACAACAGTTCTTGAGGAAAATAATCTTAAGAATCTGTTGTTACTCAAATCAAAATTCATAAATTATTACAAAAACTCCTAAAATATAATTAACAAAAATGCTAAAAACGTCAGAAAACTAGTATTCAGTTATGAAGTACAGAATTATTTATTTTCTGAAGTAAAGGGCAATATTACAAGGTCTTGCACTCTATGAACTAACAACCTTGCATTTCCTTTACTATACAGGAGCAGGAAGTATTTTGTACAGCAAGACTGAGAAGTCTGACAGTTGATTCATTCATAGACTGAAGATACTTGTCACAGACTAACTGATATAGAACATACAGACTAGAAGGTGATCTTGAGGATAACTATCTTCTCTTCAGTCTGGAAGATAGACTGAAAATTACAACTGATGTACTTGTACATTCCCAGTGTCTTGACATGTAAACCCAACTGATTCACAATGTGCAACCAAATCAGAAGAGAGATAATATTTAGTACACGATGCAGTGATTCTCCACTCTGAAAGTGGTACTGTCATCCGAATCAAACCTAAAGCCACTTGATTGCCAAGCTGATGCAATAACTGCAATGCTGATATACTTGTTAACCACAACCTCATACCAAGTAACAGCAGATCAATGTATGCTGCTGCTGACAATGTGAAGTTAACAAGCCAAAATTAATTTTCCAGTTCCACTCAATAAAAACTTTTGTCTCTGCTCGGCGCACATGGTACAATTAGGTTTCAGCGAAAAAACATTTTCTATTGAAAGACTAATTGTAAAAATAAAGTATATTCTGTCACACATTAACTCCTCAAATTAAAGAAACAAATAGAGATCATTAAGCAAAAATCAAATACTTTGTGAGCACAGAACTGAATTATATTAAATGCTTGAGAAAACAGCATTCAAAATCCACCATTAAATATGACGAAACATCTTTTCCTGGTGGATAACACTGGTATCTTCCCACGTTACCCACCTGGGGTCCTCTAAACCCAAGTACACCAAGCTGTAACTAATCCCTTTGGTAATGTGGTTCATCGAATATCCTCACTTCCCTTTGCCTCTATTGAGTGTGTTGGATTCTAGTTCTGCCCTATGAAAGGTACTCAGGATTCATTAGTGCCTAATGTAGTACACTACTTAGATTTAGTGGACTCCAGATGGGTAGAAATGTAACAAACAATAGTTTGGTTTTTAAAAAAAGATAAGTGCTATTATTAGTAGCACAAAAAAATGATTGAGCAAGAACATCAATTTCACTATTCAAAAATTAAATCATGTTTAGAGATTGTTTAGAGAATCAGAAAAAGACAATGGAAGACAACAGGAATATGTAACAAAATACCTTGCCACTGGCTGTCGTGGTCACTGTAACAATTTTACGTTTCTGCTTTCCTTTCATGACAGGAACAATGACAGGGTTTATTAACCGTTCCTCTTCCTTCCTTGGAGATGGAAAAACAGCACGGGGAATTCCTAAAACCTGTAATTATAAAGGATTGCCATTAGGATTTTGGATTCAGTAATCAAGAATGAGAGCTGGGCTTGGGGGTGAGAAGTGGCTCTCTTACTTCAGCTACATTGTGACTTTGAAGAAATACAGAAAAATTTCATTATTGTTTTTTCCGAATCTAAATTTACCCAATTTGTATCCATTATCTCGGGTTCTATTTTTGTGTTGACATATTTAGCACTATTAATATCCCAACCCATCCTCCAGGTTAGACAGTACTTTTCATAACTGTATGGCTCATCATATATATATATACTGTATTGCCAGAATGGACAATTAGATAAAATTTGGTACTATTCACTCTATATAGCCGAGAAAAAATAAAAATAAAAAATATTCCCGAGCCCAGTATAGCACACATACGTACTATACTAGGCCTCAGAGTGTATTAAGCCTAGGATGGTTCGGTTTTATTAGCAACAAAGATGAAACCTTTTCCAGTTTGTACCAAATTCGACTTTCTAATTGTCCAATTCGTCAATATATGTACGACGGTCCACATCGTTACTACAAGTACGCACTGTCTAAACAGGAGGACGGGCTGTAATATCCACCTTGTTATACTCTTGCATCCATTTGTATACTAGTCATGTCCCCCTTATTATGTGCCTTCTTAGAGAATGTAACACTTTCTTAATGTCTCTCTATATGAGGCTTTTGATTCCCTGGATCCCTGGATTAATGCAGCAATTTTCCTCTGTATTAAGTGGATTTATTTATATTCCTTCTAAAATAGTGACTAAAAGTGAATTGCATAATCTAAATTAGTCAAATAAGGACAAGGTAAACTTGAAGAATAACATTAAATGTCTTATTACTAATGCTTCTAAATATGAGTCTCAGTATCATATTTGTTTTATTTAGAACCATTATAGATTTACTTCTTTGGCTCAAGATCCTTACTAATCATGACTCAGAAATTTTTAACATTCAGGTTTAGCAATGTCAACAAAATTAACCTTATATCCAGTTACTCATTAACACCTAAGCTCAGAATCTTGTATCTATTAGCTATAAGCTGCTTCTGCCAATCTCTTAATTTAAAAGCCACTTTAAATCTTCTTGTAGCAATTTTTACTTCTGAATACATTGTCTAGAAACTTGCTATTGATTCTGGTCAATCCTATATCTAAATCAATTATACATATTGCAAAATAAAAGAGGTAACTGGACAGACCCCTGAAGCACTCCACCTGCAACAGTTTTCCAATCCAATTTCAGTCTATTCATGCTAACTTTCTTTTCTTTGAAATACTGTAACCATAGCCATTAGTATCCCAATACCATGCTCCTCAACCTTTTCTTTTCAATCATTTGAGGTACATTACCAGAGGCATTGATAAAGTCAAAGTGCACATTGCTACAATCCTTTCCACTATCATCTGCCTCATATATGCCTGAAATAAAAGCTAATTTATCAAACATGACTAACTCTTAGCAAAACCATGTTATGAATCCATTATTATTCTATAATTTTCAAGGTGCAAATGAATGGCTTCTGTAATTATAAATTTAAGCAATTTTCTAACAGTAAAAGTTAGGCCAATTGGCCAATAATTCAACAAATGATTTATCTCCCTACTAAAAAATTGACACAACATTTGCAACCCTCCGTGGTTCCAGTACTCTGTTCAACTTTATCAAATATGCAAGGTAAGGGCTCACTGGGCTTATTTTTATATTCTTTAAGAACCCTGCAGACTAATTGGTCTTTTGTTAAAGTTCTTTTAATAACATGTTCCCTAGTAAATAGTTACTGTGTCATTACAGTCCTGACAGGGCGCCTGACAGCTGAGTGGACAGCGCTTCGGATTCATAGTCCTGAGGTTCCGGGTTCGATCCCCGGTGGAGGCGGATACAAATGGGCAAAATGTTTCCTTCACCCTGATGCCCCCGTTACCTAGCAGTAAATAGGTACCTTGGAGTTAGACAGCTGCTATGGGCTGCTTCCTGGGGGCTGTGTAACAAAAAGGAGGCCCAGTCGAGGACCGGGCTGCGGGGACACTAAGCCCCGAAATCCTCAAGATAATCTCAAGATCCTTGTAACCTTCAGTGTTTCTGCCGTTAATTAATAAACAATCAGGTTCTTCTTTAATAAACACAAATTACTAATTCATCTTCATCAGTTAACCTGACCTTTGCAAATTCTATACCGTAATTCATAAAGTGTAATTAGTTACATGACTGGGCTACACCAGCTTGCCAAAGTTCAAACTTCCAAGTCTTCACTAATTGGAAGGGCCAATTAGGGTTTTAAGGTGGAAGGGTTTTACAAATTTTTAGAACTATAGAGGTTAAACCAATGGTCATTGATTTTTTTTTTAGTATGACTCATTGACAAATATTCCTTTTATAGATTGAAATTTTATGCATAACCACCGTACATTAGTCCCAAAGATGCAAGATTTTTAGTAAAAGATGCTCCCTCAGTTCCTAAATGGTTAGCATATTTATTAAGCAAGGTCTTTATAATAAGAAGTACAAAACTGTTTGCACTTAGCCATCTTAACTTTATCCATAAAACAAAGTAATTACTAGTTTATGGTAATTATGTCTTCCTGTATAATAATGGAATGTCTAAAATGCATCATTTGTCCCATATTTTATAGCACAAAATATTCCAGCTACTAAATGATTTCAATTCATATAAAAATTCCTTTTAAATAAACTCAACAATAATATAAGCTAGAAAAATGCAGACGAGGAGTCACAATAATGCGGCAGAAATATTTTGACCAAACACCACACTAGAAAGTGAAGGGACGACGACATTTCAGTTCGTCCTGGACCATTCTCAAGTTGATTGTGATGAGGAAAGGAGTCGAGGCAATAAATATGCAAGAGAGAGGTGAGAAGAGAATCTTAGAGTAAGAAAAAGCACGGCAAAAGGTATGCAAGGTAAGGTGTAATAAAGGAAATAATAATAGGAAGAACATAACAAAGGTAACTGCAGAAGGCCTATTGGCCCATATGAGGCAGCTCCTATTTATACCAACCCAATAAGAAGGGAATAGTAATAGGAATAAGAAGGGGATAGTAATAGCAATAAGCCAGGGATCATAAGAGAAAACATGAAAAAGAAAAAGAAAGATAAATGGAAGGGTAAGCTTATGTTAGGTCACGTTTGTTACAAAGTTTAGAGCATTTGAGTATATACTGTGAAAGGGAAAAGTCAACAACAACAAAGCCAGAACTCAAGTTCATGTTGGGTATGTTGTGTATTAGAGCCGATTCAACAAGACGGCGTCTGTGTAGAGTAGAGGCAGGAAAAATTATTTTGGAGGAAGACCAATCAATAGGATGATTAGAATCTCTAACATGACAGAAGAGAGCATTGTTTGTGTCTGCAGACTTAACACTTCTTTTGTGTTCTTTAAGACTCTCATTAAGTGTACGGCCAATTTCACCAAAATATTGGAGAGGACAAGACGAACAGGAAATAGAGTAGACACCAGCAGCATTAGAAGCAGAGGAGCAGTGTGAACTAGATTGCTACTAAGTGTGTTAGGGAGTGAAGGGACGAAAGTGAAGGGACGACGATGAAACGTCGTCGTCCCTTCACTTGCTAGAAAAAATTAACTAATCTTTCATAATAAGAATAGCAATGCATCTATAATGCACCAATAATTCAATAAAAGTAAAAAAAAAAGTGAATTTATGAATAAACATTTACACATACCTCCCCACTCACTCACCTGAGCCTGACTTCGACACACATGCTTGACTCTGGGTCCACCAGCTTCACCGATGATTCCTTCTTCTTCAGGTTCAGATTTCAGAGATGATTTTCCCTCTTGAGTAGACACAACAATAACCTTCCTTCCACTCTTGCCAGGCTGAACCATGTGTTTTCTAGACTCCTCAGAAAGGGGTTGAATTGAACTAGAGAGCTTGACTGATGGACTTGAAAAAGTAATAATTTCTTCAGTAACATTCTCCGAAATGCTCTTCAGTCCAGACTGGGCTCCACTTTTCCGATAACACTTTATCACTCTGGTTACTTTTGGCCTCTTTGATTCCTCACCAGACACACAAGAATCTTCAGATGTTTTAACAAGCGTTTCACTGTCTGAAAATTCACTAATCTCTGAAGAATGAGCTGAGGTTGAAGTGACCACTGCTATTGATGTCTCAGTAGTAGGGAACTTACCAACTTTATTAGTTTCTAAAGACAAACTAGTCTGTTCTCTCTTAAGAACTGGTGGAAAGTAAAAATCAAGGTCAACTTTTGATCTGCCAGCCTTCTTGAAATAAGCAAGCAATTCTATTCGAGATCTAAATGTTTGACTATCTGGACTGTGTAAGAGAGCCACTTTTCCTTCTCCTTTTTCATTCCACCGAATTTTTCTAGACCATCCTTTTCCAAAATGGCATGTCTGGTATGTGGAAAGTTTTTTGGATTTGAATTTGATTTCAGGTACTAATAAAGCATCAGGCACCACCTCCTCCTCAGAAGCATTAGGTGATGACACCTTGGAATCAATGGACACATCACACCCCCCTAATGCCTCGGACTCATCACCCAGTGGATCCTCCACTTGTTCAAGATTGAACAGTTTACCCTGAGCATCATCTAATGATTTATTTGTGCTGTGTATTTGTGCAAGCACCGGTTGATTGGTCTCTTGCAGCGTTTCCTCTTGCATTCTTTTTAGCTCTGGACCCTGTTTGTCATTAACAGTCACAAGTGACTTGTCACTTTCAACAACTTTATGCCTACGCTTGTGTCTTTTTCCTACAGGCAGAATTGCTTTTTTGGGTATTTTCAAAACTATTTTATGATCAGGTTTTTTCTCACTTGTTTCAATAATTGGTGTAGTAGACGGAGGATCCTCCTCTATGGATACAGTGGGTTTTTTTTCCAGAGATGTTTTCACTGTATCTGTACTTTCTACGGGAGCAACTGTATCACTTAATTCTTTCATGCTTTCAACAGGGATATCTGTAAAGGGTGTTGACTTGTTTTCACCTAAAGATAAGCAAACTATAGACTTGGGCTTGCCCTTTGATCTGCTTCTTGAGAATGTTTTAGGAAACATCATACTCACTCCGGACTTTCTTTGCTCCGATTCACTCTCTGTTGTATCCGTTAGACTTGTGTCACCTTTGTGTTTCATTCTGCCAAGAGACAAAGATCTAGTTCTCATGATCATTTTTGCTTTTTTATGTTTTCGCTCCAAACTGTTACCTTCATTTGAAACATCAGTTGAGCTCACCTGACCTGCAGGTTCTTCTCCACTGTTGTCTGTAGTCTTTAATTTAGTCACTGATTTGCTTCTAGGTCGCCCTGGTTCTTTATAATTTTTACCCTTCAGTTGTTTAACATGAGAAAATCTGAGCATTTTTTCATTGCTGGAACCAGACATTTTATTTTTGGATTTTGGTACATCTGTTTCACATTCTGAAGCTTCTGGAGATTTATCATCTGAACTCATTTCTGAGCATGGCTCTGAGCTTGACACAGGTTCAGTGCTGGATGATCCTGGGGTATCACTGGAACTGGGTAGTGAAGCATCTGAATGTCCAGTTACTACAGGAAAATACTTATGGATGTCATCAACTTTTCCAATAAGCTGAAAATATGCACTTAGCTCTCTCCTTGACCGAAAAGTCCTTCCATCTGGGCTATTTACATAAGTATCAAAACGATCACCAGCTGATCGCCACTTAATTCTACGTGTCCATCCACCTGGTAGAGTCGTCATTACCACTTTCCCTCTTGCACTGCTATTACTCTGAACCAACGATCGAGACTTTACTTCAGTGCTTCGACCAACTGCAGGACTGTTATTACCAAAAAGCACACGAGCATCAGTGCTAATGCCTTGTTTTATTAGAAACTCTTCCAGTTTTTGCACACTCTTGAATTTTTCTCCGCTTGGACTGATAACAATTACTTCTGGTCCGGTTTTTCGCCGCCAACCACCTGGCAGGTCCATTACAGATCCAAATGCCCCACCCCCTCCTGGATCTAAAGGTAATCGTTTTGTGTGACTTGTTAGTTCTGCATCCTTCTCCAGGATAGCTGGTAGTCCACCAACGTTCATACACCGTGCTAAACTAGTTGGTATGTGTTCTTTCAACATGGTTGGTAAACGTTTGCGAAGACGATCATGAAGAAGGTGAGGCATTGAACATGAAAGTAGTATTCTGGACAACCAACAAGCTGGACAACGATCTTCTTCCACTAAGCCCTGGAACTGGCAATTGCCTTTGTTGCCCAGGCAATCAAAAATCTCTCTTGGACCATCACTAGCACTATGAAGAAAACTGCTGCAGACTTCACAAAATACAATTCCAAACATTCGCGTATTTCCTCCTGTTAAGTCACAGATGGCACACTTTCCCTCTACACTCCCTGAAAATACACATACCATAAATTAGAACTAAATTACACAACCTATGTATGAAAGAAATACTTGAGTAAATATTTATTATTGTTCAGTAAGCGCAGTTTTCCCAATACTTGACAGAGCCACATGCTAGTCAAGAAAGGGCCAGTTTACATGTAGACTGGTTCAATACCCCTGCGCGACTCATCATTCAAAGAACTATGGTTAAATTAAGACACTGACATTGCTCTGAAATTACAGTGCACTTTTTTAATTATAGAACTCACCATCACACATTGGAATGAGTCTCTGGAGAGATGCTGGGTCGCGGATTTTCTGAAGGGTTGATTTGTTCAGGTTGAGGCGTGCTTTCCGAAGGATGTTGCGTGAGATAACAGATGCAGAGAGTGCTGGAGAGGTGCTGGTGGCAGGAGCAGGCATCAATTCATCATTTTCAGCCTTCCCTCCCTGTGTAAGAATGATGACACTATAATCAATTATCCTACATAAACAAATGGATAATTGAAAATATGAAATTATAATCAAATACAGTACAGTATATCTATTCAAGTAAGCCATGAGTTATGATTATTGATCAGCCATTCTCTAGTGTCATTGACCTAATTACATCACTCCAAAACCATTGTCTTCTTAACATTGCAGCACCTTCAACCATTAATAAATTATTATTAACAGTAAATTCTGCAACCAAAAAGTTGCTCATCCAACAGATACAGGATTCTTGTATCCGCTGGGAAATCATCAACTTTTGCTGAGGTGATAGCCAGAGGAAAATAGTCCCCAGATATTTCTAGCAAATACATCTAAACATTAATGACTTAAGGTAGCACTTGAAACAGTTGTCAAAGTACATAGGTCCCTTACTTATAAGCAGCCTTCAAAGTCCTCATTTTTAACAGCTTTCTTGATTATGTGAACTAAATCCCAACTCCCAATAACACAAACAATACTACTTTTACATCTGCACAGCTGTACGAGTACTTTACATCTGACCCAAGTTGCCTAGTCATTATTTATTCTTATGCTTAACACTACTTGTCTAGAGTGCAGGCAGGAGAGATACATAATTTATGCTTGAAAATATTAGATGGATTGGTTTCAAATCTGCACACAGGAATAAACACCACACGAGACAAGGAGGCACGGCAGATGTGCAAAATAGCATTAATGATCTTACTTCTTTGCACTTTTTTAAAGAATTTTTGTGTACGATGTTAGTTCTGTAACTTTTTACCTCTGCTTTATTCCCTCCTTTATGGAGCTGTGCTATTTCCACTGTTTTAAGTATGTAGGGGATAATGCCATAAACCTATAGCCTCTATCGGTTAAAGGTTTTAACCAATGTGGTTTCTTACAATTCTTGATGAATATGGAATTTCAGGAATCAGGGCCTGGTGCATAGACCTATGCATAGGTCTATGGTTACTTAAGTCCCGTGGGGTTAGGGTGACATCCGATATATGATATCAGACAGTATGACAGTATATTATTTGATCTTGGTACTCAACATCCTCCCTTCCAGACACCTTGGGCCCAATTGCGATTGGATATGTACTTGTGTCTGGATACCTGCTTAATGGGGATTCTGGGAGTTCTTCTACTCCCCAGGCCCGGTCCAAGGCCAGGCTTGACTTGTGAGAGTTTGGTCCACCAGGCTGTTGCTTGGAGCGGCTCTCAGGCCCACATATCCACCACAGCCTGGTTGGTCCGGCACTTCTTGAAGTGCTGATAGTGGATAAGTAGTCGAATTCAACCCCTCAGCACGAAAAATAAAAATTTTATGTACAAAAGTACATAATACGTTGTTGTTTCACTAGATACTTTACACAAAATACCACAGAATACTGGTAATACAGCAACACTATATATGGTTACTCACCAAGTGTCCACATGTTTCTCTACATATAATAATAATAATTATGATCTTGGAGTAATATGTAGGTGAGTATGGTTGTTTTTAACTTGGGGTTGAGGCCTAGATATTGAGGGGAGGGTTATCTTGAGAGGTTATCTTGAGATGATTTTGGGGCTTTAGTGTCCCCGTGGCCCGGTCCTCAACCAGGCCTCCACCCCCAGGAAACAGTCCGTGACAGCTGACTAACACCCAGGTAACTATTTTACTGCTAGGTAACAGGGGTATAGGGTGAAAGAAACTGCCCATTGTTTCTCGCCGGCGCCCGGGATTGAACCCAGGACCACAGGATCACAAGTCCAGCATGCTGTCCGACCGGCTCTGGCAGCCCGTACAGGATTGGATTGGATTGGGTTGGGTTGGGTTGGGTTTTTGTTTGGTTAGGTTAGCTTTGGTTAGACCTGGATCAGTTAGATTTGGATCAGTTAGATTTGGTTAGGTTAGGTTTGGCTCAGTTTGGTTTGGTTAAGTTTGGCTAGGTTTGGTTAGGTTAGATTTAGATAGCTTGATTAGGTTAGCTGTGGTTAGGTTTAGTTGGGTTTATTTACATTAGTTTGGAGATTGAGTCACAATAACGTGGCTGAGGATATGAAGACTAAACCACGCACCAGAAGATGGGGAGACGACGACATTTCGGTTCGTCCTGGACCATTATCGCAATCGACTTGATAATGGTCCAATACAGACCGAAATGTCGTCATCTCCTCATCTTCTTGTGTTTGGTTTAGTCTTTATGTTAGTTTGGGTTTGGTTGGGTTAACATATGTCAGTACAAACTTGTTTCATTGGCATTATAAATTTGCTCAGGAGAGAGAATCACAATCTCAAATTTGGACATATTCCTCTGCACCTCTATCCACTACACAGGAGACATTCCAGATTAATCTTCCTTTATAAGCTGAATGTTGTGATGATCTATTATCAGAGCATGTTTTCTCTTGATGCCACTGCTTGTTGCAGCCTTAAACAACATACTGCACTTTTGTGAGGGGGACCAGGTTTTATCCTCTGGTCAGCTATTAAGGGCTCCTGGGGTTGATGTGACATGTGTGGTTATTTCAGTGTGGCTAGCTACAGAAAGCCACCGAAGCTCCCCACATAAAGAGGTCTTTCAATACATTTACTGCTTGTTTCTTGTATCTCCATTTACTTCACTCTTATAATACTCTATTCTATTGTCACTTATTTTCCAATTTTTTCACACACAAACCAATTGTATTAATATTTCTTACAAAATTTTGGCACTTTAAATTTTACGAGGAATTTTAGAATATTTGGGAATATTCTCAGCCAATTTACATTGCTTATCCTTCTCATTAGCACAATTGTATACTTATTTCTATCTTACAGTAAACCCATATACAGTACTGTAATTCTGAGACTTACCCTCACACCTAGGCCTTCAACATTTAACTTTAATTTAATCTTCTACAAAATCACAAATGCTAAAAATGATATACAAGTATGCATTAAAATGTGTACTATTTCTTACCTGTTTTGTAACTAGTTTTAAAATAAATTACCCAGTAGCAAAAACAAAGCTACTTTACTGTAAAATAATCTTTTACAAATCATAAGTACATTACTGCATAAAATACATACCTTCCCAGATTGCTTTAATCTGTCATCCCATGGGGAACGAAGCAATTTTTCAATTTTTTCTTTAACTCTCGACTCTTTAGGATCACATCGCTGTGGAGAATCGGGAACCTCTGCCTCAATCTCTTGCATAGGGGCTTCATAGCGACGCAACAAGCGCTTGGGAGGTCTCCCAACCTGCCCTTTGCTAGGACCCGTTATGGACGCAGTATAAAGGGAAATAGTTCGTCGCATACGATCACGCCCCACACCTTCTGTCCCAGATAAAGAGTTCTTGCCCTGTGCACGTGAGCGAGGTAGAGACAGGAACTGTGTATGAGAACCACGACCTTTGCGAGTCAGTTTAACAAGTCTTTTACTTGGAACATTTATGGTATCCTCTCTTGGTTCAGTACTAACATCAGTCAAGAGTGAACTACTAGTGGAACAGATGTCTGTGATGTCTGCAAACAACCTTTTGTTGGGTTTTATAATTCTGGATGATCTCACACTCATAGTCGGTAGAATGAACCGTTTCGGACTTTTCTCTCCAATCGCTGGAAGAGACGGCATTTTTTTCTTTGCCTTTGCTAATAATTTCTTTGCTAAAGCAGTTTTTACAGTTGGCGGTCTACTTATTCTATGATTGGTCTGTTTTCGAGCCACGTGGCTTGTGAGTGAAGCCACTATAGTCTTTGTTCCCTCTATATGCTGATCACTTTCTAATGATGAGGATGGTGGTGGGGCTGCATCTACTGCTTTACTATCACTCACAGGTTCCACAAACCCCACCGCTTTGTCTGTTCTTCCTCCACTTAAAGATAAATCTCTCGTTTTTTCTGCACTCGCTCTCAATTCTTTCACTGCCATTTCTACAATGTTTGTTCTTCTTCGAGTCACTAAACCCTCACTCTCCAAAACTACACAAGCCTGATCCACTTTCTGTGCCATCCTCTTTCCCCCTCTGTGCACAGAAAGTTCAGGTGTTGCTGCTCTTGTAATTTTGACATCCTGTCCCTCTGGGCAACTTGACGAAAAACCCTCAAAGCCATCTTCATCCTGAAACAAATAAAAACAAATGAATACACCACACCTACAGCAGGCACTCGTAACATTCCTTGAATGTTTTCCACATGCTTGTCTGGACAGCACATCAGTGAAGCAGTTATCATCTAATTGCAGCAAGAAATAAAACTGACAAGAATGTGTATAATTTTGGTAGGCTATGCACATAGGCTCTACTTTAAGTGGGAAAATACAAGGAAGCAGACAACCTGTTAAATGGACTTGCTTCTGGTTGTGCCATCAAATGGTCAACAAGGAGTACAGTACAGTACTAACAATGTAAACTACTATTTACTTAAATTTATGCAATATCCTTAATGAAAAACTGCACAAATATTTTACATTAAAGAAAATTGATTATACTGTATGTATTTCCATATCCATAAGACAAATGACCCTTGGTTGCAAGTACAGTAACTATACTCATCACAAAGTTACGAACTGGAAAAGCCTAAATTACTAGAATGTGTAGATTAACCTAATGAAAACCCTACCAGAAGTGCAGAAATGAAATGAAACACTGAAACTCTAGTTTCAGAGATAATTGAAGTTGAAGTTATCAACAATGGATAATGGTAGTTTTAATTCGTTAATTTAATTGTATGTTTTAATAAACATTGTTTGGCATTTGTACTCGAAAATGTTGAAGTTGTAGGTCAATGTGTGTTGAAATGAAGTCAAGAAAAAATACCCCCCCCCCCAAAAAAATACTGTATAGGGATAATTATAATAATTATAATGATTTAGGGGATATATTTAGGGTATACTTTATGTAAGTGAAAAAGCCCTAATATGGTCCCTAATTATCAAACCAACCTAAACAGACAAAGAAAATAGAGTTTGAAGTCAGAGAAAAATTCAGCCAAAAAAATTAAAAGTCCCAAGTTTTGCGAGTTGTGACTGATTTATTTGTTGACTAATTTCATTCTATCTTCACATAGTTAGGGAAACATATGCATTCTCCAGGATGTAAAGGTTACAACAAAATCAGATAATAAACAAAGGAGAAAAAAATCTTAAAAAAAAAAAAAAAAAATTGAGACATTGATGAAAGTAACATTAACTTTGGACAATGTATTTATATGATATATAACAAAATACAGCATATTAACACTTTCGCGCTATCTGGACGCGCCGGCGCGCCCCGTTTCGTCTAACGCTAACGCATAGTGGACATAAAGTTGAGTCCTCTTTTAAAATATTTGTATAAAATTCAATTTTTATCCGATTTACTTTGGGTTTGTTTCAAACTGCGCGCTATGAGGCTCTCTTTCTCACCACTAGGCTGCATGGTACAATAAGTTCAAGAAAGGTGTGGATAACTTCGATCAAATGGTATTTTGTCCCAAACGGGTTGCAGGTGGGTGACTTTAGCCGTTTATACTGGTAATGCTTCCCCCATATCATGTATTATATGCATATGTCTGTTTAGGGAATTTTATTCCGATCAATATACAACCAAAAATAACTGTGTGCAACAAGTATAAACTTGACAAACATAACAAAAGTAAAAACATTTCGTGTGTGTTTGACGCTCACTGATATGTTCCAGCGTTGTTTTATATTTGGCGCTATTCTAACTTACGCTTTGTTGATATTTTTTACCTATGGGCACATAGAACATTCTATTGCGAACACATTGACACAAAAATGAATGACGTACATAGAAAATTAATGTCATGAGAGTGAAATAAGTATAAACTTTCAAAGCGCCGTGCGTCGTCCCGTCACCGATACCGGGTAACAATTTCACCACTTCCCACACTCTTGCGGGCGGGCCGCATCATTATTCTACGCTTATATTCATATCACCGTGTTGGGAATTTCATTGCGAGTCCATTGATACCAAAATTAACGCTGTAGAATAAGTGTGGAGGTGATTACAATCCCAAGAGTAAAAACATTTTGTTGCTGATGGGCGCTCACGGCGAGTCATCTTCGTTGTTATTTATTTGGTGCTGGTATCCCTATACGTTTCGTGACTTTTTTTACTGATGTTCTTCTAGAGAATTTTATTGCGAACACGTTGGTACCAAAATGAAATACGTAGCATGAGAACTAAGGTCAGAAGAGTAAAAAGAGTATACACATTTTTGTTTTTACGCTTAAGCGATAAAAACGCCGCGCGCACATTCGGTTGGCTGAGTGACCTTCGCGGAAAGTGCGAAAGTGTTAACATAGTGATTCATTATCATTTGTGTCATTATGTATTACTCAACAATGATACAAAAGGCACCAGCTGCATATCCATTTTGTGAACACTCCTTACTACTATTCTCCTCCTTTGAGAGTCACACAGGTACTTGCATCTCTATTATGGCATAATCCTTCAGTTCCAGTTATTAGGAGCTTTTCTCCTTATCAACAAAACATTCTTATTCTTTAAAAGTTCATCTAAAATAAATTTCTGAAAATATTTTGATGAAAGTTACCTGACACTGAAGCCAATAAGTTGGAGATTTGTTTAACATTTTCCAAGTTTTTACATAATTTGAATATTTTTCACTACCAGGCCCCCAATATACACGGTCCAAAGGTTAAGCAATAATATTAATAAATTGTTGCAATTTCTAAAAATTGTAGATACTGTACAACAAAATTAAATGACTTCAGTGTAGTTCTTAAAAATTATGTACTCTACATACTAAGTATAGTACTGTACAGTACATTACTTCAATATTTGTATTCATCGAAACACTTAACGAGATATTTTCAATGCACAAATCCTTTGGTAAAATACTAAATGCCAAAAAGTATTTAACTCTACTGTATTCTACAGGTACAAGTACACTCCTCTTTCTGATCGAGCCAAAGTAGGAAGCTCCCATAAGCTATCTCGTTAACATGGCTTCCCTTTACCAAGTTAAATCAACCATGGTTAACCCTCGTATTAACAACCACAGAGAACTGGGGTTATTACTCCCAAGCCCAGGCCCTAGACATCTACACCACAACATGGTTTAAGGGGGCGTCACCTTGGTCATTTCAAAGTTGTTCAATGTCAACCATCATTATTTTACTAGTTGTATATGAAAAGTGCTGAAATTGTCCCAAGTTTCAGTACTGCAGCGTAAATAGAAAGGGATTTTTTTTTTTTTCAACGTTTTTTACACATTTTCAAGTCCACACTTCAGAACACACGTTTCAGATATAATTATTCTATGACACTTTTCTGACACATTAGCATATAATAAAGGACCTTGAGATATAGAATTTCCAAAACATCTTTAGTTTTCCTAATACAAATGTTCAAAGTTCCCAAAATATTTTTTGCAAATATGGCATGTTTATTGCTATTATAAAATCAATAAATGAACTTAGAGAAAAATGAAAACTCTCCAATGTAGAGACATGCCCTCCACATATACTGTGTAAGTTTCATGTAAATTGAATAAAAAATGAATCAGTTTTGTAAACGTTTGTGTCAATTGAAAAAAAAACAGAAATGAATAAAGTCTAAGGTTCTAAAATCTGTGGCTGAGGTTGACATCAACCAATTTTGGAGAAAATTGGCGTCCTTACAGATAGGCTTACGTACAGTCAGGTGTGTAAGTTTGATGCAAATCGCCCGAAAAAAAATGAAAAAAAAAAAATAAATAAAAAAAAAATGCTTTTTTTTTGTCTTAAATTTTTTTTTCAATTAAACTAATTATAATATTTGTTTAATATATACTATTGTGATAGCAAAGAGTCATAGCTATGATTTCAGTTGACACTTTTAATTGATAATCGATTTTGACCATTTTGGCATAATTTTCACAACTACTTCAATATTTTTTTTCTCCCTTCCTATTTATGCTACGATGCTGAAACTTGGACCAGATGAAACACTTTTCATAGAGAACTTGTCAAAAAAGTTTGATTGAAATCGAACGAGTTTTCATTTGTTGAATTTTTAGGGCAAATTGGAATCTGAGGCCCCCTTAAAGCAATGCTACCTGGGATTCAACTGAATCCTCTAGGGAGTGCCAAGTGTGGCAGTTCAAATCCTCATGGCTCCTACCTGATACCTGCTTCATAACTATTTCATTGGCAATCATGAACCAATTTTCACATTGATACATTAAGTTAATCGGTTCTTCCAAGTTTTGCAGGTACAGTACAATGTGTACTGCGACATTTATCAAACCTCTGGTTTATTGTGAACAGTTTGATATATGTTTAACACTGCCAGTACAGTGGACCTCCCGATAGCAGATTCCTCCAGGATACACACACCAGTTTCTAGCCATAAGTCGTTTACAAAACTTTTGTTTCCAGCATTATTCAGTAAAACACCAAAACAAATCACCAGAGCATCTGCATATATCACAATGACAGTAAACAAAATCCAAAATAAACAGAGAAAATATTTGACTTTTTTTTTTATCCAGGTGCATGTTCTTTATACATGGAGTGGGTTCTGGTTCTACTCCCCAAACCAAGCAGAATCATAAGGAAAATACAGTAATATTTGTCGAAATAAGACATTAAAAATTAAGAATTGGGATTTTATTGCTTTCAGGCAGATGTAAGATATCTTAACTTTATAATGGCAAACTAGAAAATACCTAGAAAGGGTAATACTAGGTGCAATATGGTGTGCCTGCAGAGACTGCCATGGAGAATAGTAACGTATGCATCAAAATAATAAAATTAACTCTTCACATCACCTGTATACACACCAATTCACAAAAGAAAAACCATATTACAATCTATATAAACACCTGTATGCATGACATGTAACACTGAGCATGGGGTGTCGGACATAGTAAGTGTCATGGCCAGGTTGTGGGGATGACCGCCGGAGTCCTGACGGTCACCAGGTCCAGACCGCAAACATAGTGCTAGATGGTTGGAACAAGTTAGGCGAGAAGATGCTAGAGGCCAAAACTGTCAGTACTCTCAAAGCATTATACAACAGTGCTGGAAAGACGAGACACCACGAGCATGGCTCTCATCCTGTAACTACACTTAGGTAATTACTGTCTCCAGGCATGGTCATTTTAACCACCCTTATGATGACTGGTCTGCCACAGGCCTAATAGGCTCTACCTTTGAGTGCTAACTATTATTTTTTATTTTCACACTTGGTTCCCCCACCAATATATATTCACTAACCAAGTAATCCATCACCCTATTCATATACCCAGCCACCCACCCATCCAATGTTTGGATGGTTATTAAGTCCACCATGTTAAGTGAATGTTACAATTACATGGCTGAAACAAATAACCCAACCCCCACACGTGAAATGGAATTAAAATGACATTTCAAACCGTATGTACTCGCCTATCAGTTTTTATAGGGAAGAGGTTTAGCTCTATATGCCCTGCCTACTAACCTTGTTGCACCTTTTGTGTTACAGTATAATTTTAACTATCTTGACTTTCAAATTCTTTGTTGAATCTGGCATTAAAATGTGGATGGAAGTGGCTTCCACAACTTTTCAGTGCATTCCACCATACATAGCACAAGTATTTTCTTACATTTATTGTACCTGTTTACATTTCCAGCTTTTACTTATGTGCTCTCATCCTACTTCCTCTCAATTTCAAGATGCTGTACTAGTCCACCTTATCTATTCCCTTCTGTATCTTACATGTTGAGATCATATCCCCTCCATTTCTTCTATCTTCAAGGGTTGTGAGATCTAGTGCCATTAGGCTATCCACATAGCTTAACCCACTTAGCTCTGGCACTAATCTTGTTGCAAACTTCTGTACTTTTTAAACTTTTCGTGTTACTCTTCACAATGCATGGTTGCAATGCCAGTGTTGCATATTTATGTATTGGTCTAATGAGTGTTACGTACAGTAGATTGCCTTGAAATTCAAACTTTAAAAAGCTTTATTCATAAATGTTTATACAGTACAACTATAATTCAGTTTTTACTCTTTTACAGTTTCTAAACTCCTAGACACTTATCAAGATACTGTATATAAATCTCTTGTGTACCCCCACTTGGATTATTATATCCAAGCATGGAGACCTATCTTCAGAAACATACAGCTGCTTTAGAAAAAGTTCAACACTAGGCAACAAAAATCATTCCAGAACTAAGTTGACTCTCATACTAGGAATGGTTGAGGGCCACAGAGCTAACAACACTACAAATCAGACATGATAGGGCTGATTTCATTTAAATGAAAAAACTGAACAATTTGGAGGATACTGATCCAGATAACCTCTTTCAAAGATCAGATGTACTACAGACAAGGAGCAACAGTTTCATCCATCACCCTATTCATATACCCAGCCACCCACCCATCCAATGTTTGGATGGTTATTAAGTCCACCATGTTAAGTGAATGTTACAATTACATGGCTGAAACAAATAACCCAACCCCCACACGTGAAATGGAATTAAAATGACATTTCAAACCGTATGTACTCACCTATCAGTTTTTATAGGGAAGAGGTTTAGCTCTATATGCCCTGCCTACTAACCTTGTTGCACCTTTTGTGTTACAAAAAGTTTCTGGTCAACAGTTTCAAGCTCAACAATCCACCATGTAGGACAGAAAACAGGAGATGCTTTTTCACCCATGGCATTATAAATCCTTGGAACCACCTATCTGCCAAAGCCATAAATGCCAAAATACTGTACTGCTGAATTTTAAAGTCCATCTTGATAAAATCCAGACAAATTGGGGGGGGGCTTTGATAAGCATGTCAAAGGCTCCCTGTCCTCATTGAGGCCATTAGTGTTATAGCAGCCCTCATATAAAATCAGGCAAAATCAGGTAAATCATGACATTGCAAGAATGAGAGAGGGAGTCAATATAAGGCAAGAGGGAAGGTGAGATGAAAGGTCTACCATAATAGCTTACAAACCAGTTATTAACTTTAGTTCTTAACATAGTCCAGGAGAAAAATTTACTCCATATATTCATGGCGATACATATTACTCTATACCTATCAATGTACAGTATACAGTGATCCACCTCAAGAAGAGTCACCAGTCCAGAAATATGAACTGCAGACACTGTTCATATTCCAATGAACAGTGGAACACGTATAACAATAAGTCATACTGACTTCGGCACAGAGGATGAGTCACAATAACGTGGCTAAAGATATGAAGACTAAACAACACACCAGAAAATGAGGAGACGACAACGTTTCGGTCCATCTTGGACCATTATCAAGTTGATCATTATCAAAATAACTGACCTCAGTATTACTGATAGAGAAGCTAGTAGTAGCAATCGGTAATTCTGCCCCAATGCATGTCTTAAAGTAATCAGGTTACAAAACAGGCGATTTGCATTGATTTCGGGGCTCAAGTTCCACATGGCCCAGTCCAGACATTTTTGTGTTCATTCTATGCAGTGGGGCAGGTGCTGTAAGAATATTTTCTGACCCTACATCAGAATAGTGGCTTTACCCTACTCTGTTTCACATCAATACCAGACCTCTAATACTGTATGCATCTAACTTGAACTGGCTAAACCAAGACTCTCAAAAATTACAGTATTTATAAATTCTCTATATTCATTTATTGAAAGATAAACCATCCTTTACTGGCTCTCATTTTTTTTTTTTTTTTTTTTTTTTTTTGAGATATATACAAGAGTTGTTACATTCTTGTACAGCCACTAGTACGCGTAGCGTTTCGGGCAGGTCCCTGGAATACGATCCCCTGCCGCGAAGAATCGTTTTTTCATCCAAGTACACATTTTACTGTTGCGTTAAACAGAGGCTACAGTTAAGGAATTGCGCCCAGTAAATCCTCCCCGGCCAGGATACGAACCCATGACATAGCGCTCGCGGAACGCCAGGCGAGTGTCTTACCACTACACCACGGAGACCACTCTTACCACTACACCACGGAGACCACAAGATTTCTAACATTTTAAATGTGAACTTCCCAATTACTGTTAATATTGCTGAAAACCTAAAACCCTGTGTTTATGTCTGGTAGACAGGCTTCACTCAAGCAATACAATTTAGCGCGACCTAAAGAATACTGTACAATACAGTATTTCTATTTGAATTTCATCTAAATCATGAAATAAAATAAGATTATACCAATATTAATTGTATTATTAGAACTAAGAATATTAACAATATTAACATGTAGTCACATATTACTTATGCTTTCACTTACTTTAAACTTTGTGACATGCTATTAGGCTAGGCAAGATAAAGTTAGGTAACAGAGTTCTAATTCCAGGAGTTTATAGAACTTGCCAACTGGTAGCAATGCTGGAAATATGGCTATATATAATGCACTCACTTTTCACAATACAAAAGTGTATGTATTGTTTTCTGGCCTTATGCAAATGTTATACTTGGTTATAAATTAATGTAATATTATAATAAATTAATGTTATAATATAAACAATAAATGCAATGCCCACAGGTCTACGAGGGAACTAATAGCACTATGAAATACATAAAAATATGAATTTTTAATATGAATAAATCTGATTATAAATAATTTTAAATGAAAAATACTGTATGGTGTACCTCTGATTCAGCAGGTAAACACTATTTCTTCAGCAGCACCTTGCACCACTCATGCTAAGATCATTAACCCATACCCAACTTGTATCTAATATTAATCAACATCCCGCCTATACTAGTGCTGGACTATACTACCCCAACAGTTTTCAAAGTCATAAGAAAGTTTGTACTTAGTAATGAACTATTTCAAGTTTGAAACTAAATACGACAAATTTTGAACTCTTCCCAAATATCCACCTTCGACCATATTACTAAATCTCTGCAAAGATGCATTTTGGTGCTAAATGAAGCAAACCAGTCTGAAATAGTGAAAGATTTACGTATAACATTTGGTGGAGTTGTATACATCATGATGCTTCACAAATGATAACTGACAGGTGTTTAAACTGCCTCAACTCGCCTGACACGCTCAATTCCACGTTGCTGCTCCTTCTAAGAACTAGTAATCGACATATTGAACAGCTCCTCGAGACAAGAGCAGCAAAACAAGACCAGAGTGGCCAGCAGCACCAATGTTATGGAGAGCGCTCGCGGCTTCACTCCTCTCAAAACGGGCCTGAAAATGGCTTCCATCCCAAGCCTACCCGCACCAGCCAACCAACATCACTGGGGTCAGGCTTCACCGACACCAAAGCCACGGAGAAGCGTGCAAGCCAACGGGAGGGAGAGTATATTGCATGCTATTGATTGCAAGCGGTGGGAGTTGGCGCCATGTTGAGGCAGGCTCGAGGCGGACTTGGCCCATTTGGTCGCTCACCTCATCCGACTCGCCGAATATTTGGGTAAACAGGTCCAGGCCTCTTCGTATTCTGCGTGTGTATAGCTCCTCGGGTGTGTTGGCTGTGTAACTTCCTCGATATCGCACCCGCTTTCTTGTGTTTAACTTAAGAGCTTTGCCTGGGAACCTGAATTTCGCCATGGTCACATAAACTTAATGCAACGGAAACTGAGGTGCTTGTTCCCGCGTGATAAAAACTGCTTAAAGTTCCAGTAACGTTCTTCACTTCTCCAAAACACCCTCATTAAATTGAATACATGCGCTTAAAAAAACGCATAAAATACAAAAAATAAAAATATATAGTTTATTGATATAATATGAGGGATATAGAGGATAATGAGGTAGATAATAAGGAGGGAGAGTTTTTGGAAGAGCGTGAGGTCGCGGGGTGAAAGGTGGAGGCGCACAAGGCCGGTGCGCGCAGGAGCCCGCCAAACTGCGGCCAGGAGGGGCGCGGGGGGTCGCGGGGGGCCTCGTCAGGGGCGCCGCACATTATCCTCCCCCACACACACACACACACGCAACCCAACCCACTCACAACTACACCCATCGTTATATCCAACCTTATATACTTGCCCATAATTTGGCTTCTTATGCAGCGTAAGACGCCAATGTCTAAAAGCACGTGCAATTGTTTGTAAACAATCGTCGTTTCAGAAAACGTTTCTAAAGATTTCTCCGAAAAGAAACACAAATTCCATTTCACATCATCTTATGCAACATTGCGTCATTCCCAATAAGACATGTCTGGCCAGTTGTACGATTTAAAGTGACTAAACTAGGGGCCAGAAACCCATGTTGCTCTTGTTGCACCAGTTATCGGCTTGCAAGACATTCGAAATACAGAAGACGGACTAATACCAAACGTTCCGAAAGTCGAAATGTAAACATATGAAATAATAAGTACGTTTGATATAATAATTATGAGTTTTTCTATTAATTCATCAGAATAATAGTGTAAATATGTTAATAATTGTTAATGAACTTAAGAGTAGCATTAACCTAATGATTAGAGGTAATAGTTCAAATAGGTGGTGAATAGGATTCTAAATCTTAATAGAGTACACAACGTTCGTAAACGTTTACCATGCAAATGTGTATTGTAATAAATGAAGACATTATAATATTAATCGTGTTATAGTTTTTAAATTTCTTAGGATCAAACTGATTTTGTTAATATACTTTCTAATTAATAAATACAATTTTTCTTTTGTGTGGTTAATTTTTAACAATGGATTTTTAGTCATCTCACAATATAAAGTATGGAATACGATATATAGGGAGTGGCCGGATTACGTATTTTGTATGATCATTTAATATATTTAACATTTCATTCTAAATGATATGTCTGTATGTAAAGCCGCGAAATTAACAGATGAAGACATTAAATCATCATTCTTCACAATGGCCATGGCTGAGACTTGAGTCTTGGTAATATGCTGTTCCTGGTGTGACAAGGATGAATTAAAAGAGTGTTTGAGAGCAGCAGTGGTGTGCAGGTGCGGGTACTGGGTAGGTGGAGGGCCGTGCAGGTGGGTGTATGCCTTGTGTGGGGTGGGTACATGGGTAGACTGGGTAACATTACTCCACAAACACGGCACACTTCACCAGGCTGATGCAATCCTGCTCCTCCAGCAACGTTTCATCCAGAGCGTGCATTTTTTTGCCATATTATATTACACGTGAAGACGAATTGTGTACACTGGTATGATTGAAGGTGTATGAATTTTCTCAAAACAGTTACAACGATCTTGGAGTCATATTAACTTTTTGTTAATGATAGCTGGTTATTTTTAATTCTTCTCATATGCCATTTTCAGCGTACACCATCGCCAGACCGATATGGAATAATTCCTTAATTTTTCGGATGTTACAAATTTATTACCTTCGAAAAATGACTTTTTTATCGGGGACTGGAACGTTAAATATAATTAAGTTTCGATATTGCTGTATAGTGTCTTGTCTATGGAGGTAATAAAGTACAGCATATTTTATTTTTTTAACGATCGTGATAGATGACTGCTTGGAATGGGGAACCCATATAGCTATATAGAAAAGAATTCGAATAAACATTATTCGACGAACATTAAAGGATCCCCCACACACATTAAAGGGTCCCGCCAATGCAAGATTAAAGTCATTTGCATCATCTACCACCCTTCTATTCTACTTTGTTTTTTTTACAATGAATGATTAAAGCTTGTGAACCTCTTTAAGCTCCTCAGATAATGGAGAGGAACCGAGGGATACTGCAGACATTTCCCCTCTGGACCAACACACTGGGGTGTTGGAATATGAAACTGGCAGCCCTTAGATCTGTGGCACTGTCGATGAGCTTAGAACCCAACACTTTGTAAAAACAATTTGGCAGACTTACCCCAGGATACAAGGAGTTTCCAATCCTACGGAGACAAGTGTGTACAGATGGCCCAGTTCCCGTATTGGACTTGACAGTTTCCCTATGATAGCAGACACAACCTGCATGGCTAACACTCGAGGAGATATATAGGTATCAGCTGGAATCTATACATAGAGATTCTCGTAGTACAATTGCCTTCGTTCTGAACTCACAATCGTGGATCCCAAGTTCGATTCCCGGGCAGGACAGAAATGTCTGAGCATGTTTCCTTTCACCTAATGCTTCAGTTTACTTAGCAGTAAATAGATACCCAGGAGTTGGGCAACTGTTGTGGGGTTGCGTCCTGAGGAAGGTTCCACCTTGGAGGGACCTCGACGAAAGCCTCAACTACACATCTGACTGGAGTAACGTGGTGAGTGAGGTACCTCAAAGTTCCATTTTTAGGCCAACCTCAATGTTTGAGGTTGGCCCAAAAATGGAACTTTGAGCCTAACTTTACATTTTTCAGCCAACCTCTGTTTCATTTCATTAGTGATATGGATGAGAATATTACAACCACATCATGAAATTTGCCGATGACTCTAAGATTTATTGTAAAGTAGGAAGTGAACATGATATTGAGGCCTAACATAGAGATCTATACGAACTCCACAAATGGTAAGAAGACTGGCAAATGCTTTTTAATATCGAAAAATGAAAGACCATGCATGTGGGGCATAACAACCCACGCCACAACTACGAAATCAAGAACATTACCTTGCAGCAGATGAGGAAGAAAATGATCTTGGAGTCAAAATCCACCAATCTCTGAAAGTTGCAAACAAGTAGGAGCTGCAATAAAAAGAAATTAGCAACAGTCAAACGAACCTTTGACTTTAAGGAAAAGATAGTTATTCAATTGTATAAATCTCTGGTGCGCCCCCATTTTGATTATTGTATCCAAACATGGAGACCTCATCTTCAGAAAGATATATCTTCTCTGGAAAAAGTTAAACACCGGACGACAAAAATAATTCCAGAATTAAATCGACTCTCATATCAGGAATGATTGAGGGCCACAGGTTTCACAACATCGCAAACCAGATATGACAGGGCTGATCTCATCGGAACTTTTAAAATACTGAACACTTTGAAGGATATTGATCCAGACAACTTCTTTAAAAGGTCAGATGTAACACAAACAAGGAACAACAGTTTCAAGCACACGAAGCTTCATTGTAGAAGAGAAAACGGGAGATGCTTTTTCAACCATAGAGTTATAAACCCATGTAACTGCCTACCCTCCGGGAAAAACTGAAAGGCTAGACCTGACTTGCCTAGAAAAGAGGAGAGGATACATGATAGAGAAGTATAGAGGCGTATTTCCAAACCTCTCACCATAAGGGTGAGAGGTTTGGAAAAAGAGGAAATGTCCACAATGAATAACAATATAAGAAGAGGGCATGGGTGGAGAGCATGTTAGAAATTTTCTTTTGGCGAAGTGAGAAAATTAAAGGAACTAAAGGAGCAGGTTAATATAGAGGAGAACTCTATTAATAATTTTGATGGAGAAGATAGTGCGAAAAACATCTGGAGGGAAAAATACATCATCAGTATGGGTTCAGAGATGGCAAATCTTACCTCACATGATTAATTAAATTCAATGACCAGGTGATAAAAATCAGACAAGAAAGAGGAAGGCGGGCAGACTGCATAATTTGTTATTACAAGAAAGCCTTTGACACAGTACGCCATAGGAGACTAGTGCACAATCTAGAGATGCAGGCAGGAGTGAAAAGGAAGGTACTCCAGTGGATAAGGGAATACCTAAGAAACAGAAGACAGCGAGTCACTGTGAGGGGTGAGGTCTCAGAGTGGCAAGGCGTCACCAGTGGAGTCCCACAGGGTTCAGTCCTTGGACCTATACGGTTCCTGATATATGTAAATGATCTCCCAGAGGGAATATACTCGTTCCATTCAATTTTTACTGATGATGCAAAAATTATGAGGAGGATTAAGACCGAGGAAGACAGAAAGAGGCTACAAGTTGACCTAGACAAACTGAAGGAATGATCAAACAAATGGCTACTAAAGTTTAACACAAGTAAATGTGACATAATGAAACTAAGCGTAGGAAATGGGAGGCCAGACATTAGATATCGAATACAAGACGAAGTCCTCACCGAAACGGTCAGAGAGAAAGATCTAGGAGTTAATATTACACCCAACCTGTCTCCTGAAGCCCACGTCAAAAGGATATCATCAGCAGTATAAGAGGTTGGCCAACATTAGAACTGCCTCTAGAAATTTGTGTTAGGAATCATTTAGAACCTTGAATACCACATATGTAAGACCAATCCTGGAGTATGTAGTACCAGCATGGAGTCCGTGCCTTGTCAAACATAAGACGAAGCTGTAGAAGGTTCAAAGGTATGCCATTAGACTAGTTCCAGAACTAAGAAGAACTAAGAATTCACGAAGGAAGGCTGCGTGAATGACATCACGTCATTGGTAGACAGAAGAGCTCGTCGAGACATGATTACCACATACAAAAATTCTCAGGGGAATTGACAGGGTAGATGAAGACAGATTATTTAACATGGGAGGTACACGCACAAGGGGACACAGGTGGAAACTGAGTACCTAAATGAGCCACAGACATTATAAAACCTTGTTTAGTCACAGTAGTTAATAAGTGGAATGCATTAGGAAGTGATGTGGAGGAGGCTGACTCTATACACAGTTTGAAATGTAGATATGATAGAGCCCAGTAGGCTCAGGAACCTGTACACAAGTAGCTTGACAGTTGAGAGCCGGGACCAAAGAGCCAAAGCTCAACCCTATAAGCAACTAGGCGAATACAAGTAGGCGAATAGAGCT